ATGAACCCTGTGACCAATCCCTATTTTGAACATATTTTACTATTCAAACGTTATATTGATGATCTATTCTTATTGGTTAAGACCAGAGACATAATTGAACCATTTGTTCAGTGGCTCAACAATGTGCATGATTCAATCCGATTTACACATGTTGTTAGCTGTTCTGAAATTAACTTCCTAGACACCACTGTATTTATTAAGAACAACCATTTGGCTGTGCGTCCCTTCCACAAAGAAACGGATAGGAACTCTTTATTACATTATAGTTCTTATCATGTCAACCATCTGAAAAATAATCTCCCTTATGGGCAATTCCTCAGAATCAAAAGAAATTCTACTTTTCCAGCAGACTTTGAGCTTGAGGCAGATAGACTGCAAAGGTTATTTAAGGACAGAGGATATCCAGACTGGGTTGTCAACCGTGCTAGATTTAGAGCTACTCGCCGTGACCGGGCTGAACTGTTTTCTAATAGATCTGAGAAGCGTACTGATGGGAGGTTGTGTTGGGCGTTGGAGTACACAGAAAAAGCTTATTCTATCAGAAACATCATTTGTAAACACTGGCACATTTTGGGAGATATTGCGGCCTGCAGACAATCACCCATGATAGGTTTTAAGAAAACCCAGAGTATCAGGGATAGAGTAATTAGAGCAGACATCCTGATTAATCAACAGGTTGAAACATTACCGAAAGGGCACTTTAAATGCGGTAGATGTGCTGCATGTTCTCTCATGCTGGAAACAGGTGTCCTGAATCTCCCTGAGATCGGGTTCAGTAGAAACTTAACACAGTTCTCCTCGTGTGCAACTAAAAATATCATTTATATGATTTCGTGTGGTTGCAATCTGAGATATGTAGGACAAACCACACGAGCTTTACGCACACGCGTTTTGGAACACAAATCTAAATTAAAACATCATTGTCCCACTGCACCTCTCGTGCAGCACTTTGCAGAAGCAGGTCACAAATTTGATGAATTTAGGTGTGTGGTAATAGAAGTAGTGAAACCTAAACCATACAGCAATACAGATATCCACAAATTATTACTCCAAAGGGAAACTTATTGGATGTTCAAATTCAACACGATTCAACCAGCAGGACTCAATACAGCTCTGGATTTCTCTTGTTTTTTATAAATGTGTGTTAAATGCATATCTTTGGAACTTCCTCTGTACAAATGCTATGTGTATACTCCTTGTTGTACTCTTGCCACCTTTCTTTATATGCCTTGGTTTGTTGAGTAAGACAAAATGTGCCATAGACATATGCACTGATAAGTTGGCCATCCTCACATGTGATCAACTTTTTTGCACTTTGCACCTATTTAATGAGATAGTTGTTTGCAACCATTAAGACTTGTTGTCCGAATTTAGAATTTGTTAGCCCTTGTGCTGTTAAAACTTGTTAGCCTATGTGCTTTACGGATGTTGGTAAGTTTTTTTCATCTCTTATAATGGAAGTATAAGCAACAGTGCTTACATTAATGCAATTGGATCTTATTCTTGAACAAATGCTTTGTATATTACAGGATAAGATTGATATCACAGCTAAACACAATAAGACAACCAGAGAACTGTATGTAACAACAAGAATATTTATATATTTGGTCATAGCCGTGATGTATGTATTTAAGCTTATTATATTCCATCTGTTTTCTGATAGGAATTTGGTTGAAAAAGAGTTGTCTCGAAACGAACAACCACTCGAGATGTTCGTATCGCTCACCTTCCGTATTTGACGTCCTGTGTTCTGAAAACATAGAAATTATAAACATCATCAAGCGTCAATTCTGTACTAGTTATTATTGTCTATTCATTGTGATTTGTGAACTCACAGCAATTTTTCATCATTATTATTGTACTGCTTTGAATTGCTGGTCCCCCTTGTATATATTTGTATACCCCTATCTTAAGTACATTGCTTTAAAAATTCTATTGTTAACCCCAGTTTTGGAACACTCTGTAGACTTACAGTCGATCTGTTAAATGGATCCATATCTTCCAAAAATTTCTTCATAGCCAGATGAATCTAGATTTGGTCAAATATACAAAATTAGCAACAGAAACAGATTCCCAAAAGACAAACATTCAGTTTTAAACCTTTTATGTCACCCATATTGTTAATCTCAAAGCTTTCTTACCCCTCATAGTTATATAGTACCACTCTCTAAGGCCTTAATACAACTGTTTAGAAAAAAACAGGATAATCTGGGCCACTTATCACTGACTTTGTTGCAGGTTTTAAAATGGTATCCCCCCCCCCATTTAATTTAACTTGCAATCATATGGACATCTAAACACATTAAGGCTCCCTTGTTTGAATGAACCTATTTACAATTAGTGTCTATTTATATACAATCAGGCTGGGAAACCTGAGCTACATCCAAAGAAGGGGATAAAATTTAAAGGAGCATGATGTGTTTGTGTAAAATCTGCTGTCTTTCTACCATTCTTACCCCCACAATCCATTTCTTCAAATATTTTTCTCTGAGCCAAGCTCCCATAACAGATGACTACAACTAGGAGATGATTCTAAAAGAGAAGAGAGAGAAGAGATTGGATTTATACCCCGCCCTTCACTACCCAAAGGTGTCTCAGAGTGGCTTACAAACTCCTTTCCCTTCCCCTCCCCACAACAGACACCCTGTGAGGTAGGTGGGGCTGAGAGAGCTTTTGACAGAAACTGTTCTTTTTCAATAACAGCTCTTATCAGAACTACGGCTTGCCCAAGGTCATCAAGCCAGGTGCAAGTGGAGGAGTGGGGAATCAAACCCGGTTCTCCCAGATTAGAGTCAGTGCACTTAACCACTATATCAAGCAAAAGAAAGCAAATGGAGACACCTTGCCCACCAACATACTCAATGGGTGAATCTGTGCCACTCTTGGGCTCGTAGGCATGTTGTCAGGATAAAATGTGGAGAAGAGACTCATGGACGTTGTTCCCCTGAGCTTCTTAGAGAATGAGTGGGCTAAAATCCCAACAACAATTATATTACTTTAAAAAAGCACACAAACACACAGACTGAGATTTACATATAGAGGCACACTATAGGTAACACAGTTCCTTGTAACAAATTTATCTGCTTCATTTATACCCCACCTGTCTCCCCAACACAGACCCAAAGTGGCCATCCTCATAACAACCCTATGAGGTAGGTTAGGCTGAGAGTATGTGACTGGCCCAAGGTCACCCAGCAAGCCCTCATGGAAGAGTACAATCAAATTCACCCATCAGATGTCAGCTAGATTGGGCTCCATGCCCTCACACAACCAGGGCAGTGAAGCCTCCCCTGATGCTTAAACGCAAGTACAGGTGACAATTTGATTCCATGTCACTGGCTGGAGACACAGTCCCACTTAACGAGCCTCCAATGCCAACCAGTATCATCATCCCCCATCAGATCAATTTAATGCCCTGTCCACCCCTCCGTAATAAGGCCCTGAGACAATGCGAAAAGAGGGAGCAGAAGCCCATACAAAATGGCTGTCCCAGCCCAGGTGAGCAGGGAGGCGGCCTGCACTTGCATTTGTGCATTTTGCTGCCTGAATCACCATGGCAACGGCCAAGGTGGAGTCCTCGCCTCAGTCTCTGGAACCAAAAAAATACCTCCATGAAGGCTGCGACAACCAACAAAAAAAGGACCTGTGATACTTCTACTGCACACACGCCCTTTACCTCACCCCAGGGGGAAAATTGTTTTACCCACTTCCGCTCCTTCCCACCCTTGCTTTATTCCCACAGAGACATTTCCTACAGACCTCTTAAGGCTGTGAGTGGAAAATCCCTCAAATGATAGGCAAGAGAACAGAGAAATACAGGATAATATGAACCCCCACCCCCAAGGGCAGGGCTAGTTGCTCTCTTCACTGGCACTCTTCTGAAATAATCGTGACCTCGATCTCCAGTCCAAAAAATACATTATTGCCTTGTCTTCCAATAATGCTGTCTGGCAGGTTTTAAGGACAGGCAAACACAATCAAGCACGCTGCCATGTACTGGGTCAGATGACTAGTCTATAAGGTCAGCAATGAGTATTGTGGCTGCCCTGAAGATAGATTCAGGTGGGTAGCCACGTTGGTCTGAAGCAGCAGAACAAAGTTTGAGTCCAGTGGCACCAGCTATCTGAAGAAGTGTGCATGCACACAAAAGCTTATACCCAGAATAAAACTTTGTTGGTCTTAAAGGTGCCACTGGACTCAACCTGTTATACTGTGGCTGCTGATGGTTTTCTGCGATTTCAGATGGGGCCCTTTCACATGTCAAAACCTTATGGTTGGAGGAGCCCGGGATTGAATCTAGGAGCTTAATGCGTGAGATTAAAGTGCTGTACCACTGAGACACACCTTCCCCCCAAACCTAACAAGGAGGGCTTGTAGCTTAGTGGTAGAGAATTTTGCATGGGACTGGGTAAAAGGCAGATCTAAACTTTAAACAGATCCTCATGGATTCATATGAGTTTACACTGAAACAAAATAAAACCACCATCAAATTGTAGATCATGCCTTAGTCTATAGGCAGCACCAAAAAAATGCATCCACTGTTTCATGGCACCACCATGGCACAGAAACGTAGTTCCAAAGGGGACTTCCTGTTTATGCAGCAGCGCTGTGTTCTGCGTCTTGGAGAAGCTCCAGAGACATACCGAACTGGCCCACCTTTTGGGGGGGGCCTAGGGGATTCTAGACCCAAGGAGGCTTCTGGAGGGGGTCTCTGAAGTCAGTGGGGTGCATTTTTGGGTCACTCCTCTCAGTTAGTTTGGGAGTGCAGAGATCCAAAGATAGCCTTGTTCTCCCGGTGAGTACAGCCTTTAGCTGCGTGCTATGGAATGATTTAATGATAAAAGAAGAATGAGAATCTACCTGCAACCTTCTTAAGACTGTAACTAAAGGTTTAAAGCTCTCCCCTCCCTGTCTGGTTGTAATAAATAACTCTATAGAAGGAAATTTGGAGGAAGAGGAGGTGGGGAGTGAGAGACAGTGTCTAAAGCCCGTTTAAAAAGGTAAAGGTAAAGGTTCCCTTGCTCGAAAGCCAGTCGTGTCCGACTCTAGGGTTGCGGTGCTCATCTCCGTTTCAAAGCCGAAGAGCCAGCGCTGTCCGAAGACGTTTCCGTGGTCATGTGGCCGGCATGACTAAACACCAAGGTGCACGGAATGCTGTTACCTTCCCATCGAAGTGGTACCTATTTATCTACTTGCAATTTCTTGCTTTCGAACTGCTAGGTTGGCAGGAAAAGCCCGTTTATTCCCCTCTTTTTCCCCCCTCACTACTTTTTTTTTTTTTAACTTGGATTTACTTTTTGTTCTTGGTTTCTTCTTCTTCTTCCTGGACTGGGAAAAACTATAATGTAAGGAGGATATAAGTAAAAAACTGGAGAGACTTAAGAATTAAAAGAACTAGAATTTGATGTTGGATCTGTTTCCCCTGCTGATGGAAAGGAAAGATTGGAAAATTAAAGCTGGACCGGAACTTGATGTGGTAACTATAAAATGAAGCTGTCTTTCTATCTAATTTTGTTGGATTATATACTTTGAGAACTTTAGTTTTTTGATCTGGAGAAGATTGGGCTATTTCCTTTTTTAAGTACTACTGGGAAGTTAACTTTGATCTGCTGGACTTGATTTGGTTGGAATATAAAAGAAGCAGTTTGGATTTCCTTTGCTATTGGATTTGGACTTGGGTTTTTTTTTAATGCATGGAATATTTTGGGAATTAATTAAATTGGAACTGGAACTGTTTGAGACAATTAGACTGTGACTGGAGAACTGTAAAGGGAGATGGAACTTTTGCTTGAAGGTGAAAACAATCTTGAATACACAATTACTTTAAAATGGACATGAAATGAAGACTATTTCAACAAAATATGAATGTAGAAACATCAATGAAGATAGTTTGGGATGGAAGCAAAGCTTTTTTTAGAGGACTGGCAATTAGGTTTGCAGCAGGAAAGAAAGGAGAAAGAATGAGAACATTCCAAGATATATTGGACACTATTCAGAAGAAAAAGAATTAAAGCTGGATTCTTCGAATGAGAATTTAAAGATGAAGATTAAAATACTCCAGCAACATCTTAATCTACTCTTTTCAGAAGAAATGGCAAAAAGTATTAAATTTGCTAAACAGGATTATTTTGAAAATGCCAATAAACTGGGAAGATGGTTGTCTTATAATTTAAGAATAGAGAAAGAGAAACGGATGATCCATTCATTGTATGATAAAGATAGAAAAGAAGAATTTTCTAAGAATGGATTAAAGGAAATAATTCAAGATTTTTACATGCAACTATATAAAAGAGTGGACATTTCCAAGGAAATCCAGAAACAGTATTTATGTGAATAGGACTTATCCACACTAACGGAAGCAAGCAGAAAAATGTTGAATGATCCTTTAACAATGATTGAAATTACAGAGGCTATTAAGAAACAAAATGTAAATAAAGCACCTGGACCAGATGGACTTTCAGCTGAATACTACAAAATATTTGAAGATGTCTTATATAAAACTGTAATTTCATTTGTAATAGAAAAAAACGGAAGTACCAAAATCTTGGACTGAAGCAACTATATCATTGGTTCATAAAGAAGAGACAGATTCTTAAGAGATTAAAAAAAAAAAAAACCCTACAGACCTATTTCTTTGCTGAATTCTGATTACAAAATATTTGCAACTATTTTGGCTGCAAGGTTGAAAAAAATTCTAATAGACTTTATACATCAGGACCAGGCAGGTTTCCTACCTAAGAGCACAACGATAGGTTGCCTCCTCGACATTTTACCTGTCTGTTGCTATTAAACTATTATTACACAGACTTCCTTTGAATA